CCCACCCCTCCCCAGGCCTTCACCCCACTACTGTCTGTGTCCATGGCCTATGCGAAGATGCACATAAGTTCTTTGGTTAATCTCTTCTCCACCCCCTTCCCTCTGAGACCCCTCAGTCTGCTCCATGTTCAGTGTCTCTGCATCTATTTTGTTGGTCAGTTTATTTTGATGATTAGATTCCACATATGAGTGAGATCCTGGGGTACTTGTCTTTCTGATTGGCTTATTTCACTCAGCATAATCCTCTCCAGGTCCCTCCTGAAGGGTAAGGTCCTGTTCCAAAGGGTACGAGATCCACCTTTTTCACAGCTGCATAGTATTCCACGGCATAGATGTACCACCACTTTTTTATCCTCTTGTCTACGGATGGGCACTTGGGGCTGTTTCCAGATCTTAGCTGTTGTCAGTTGCGCTGCTGTGAACACGGAGGGGGTGTGTCTTCTTCATAGTTGGTGTTTTGGGTTCTCAGGATGGATTTTTGAAGGAGGAGCTTAGTGTTCTGTACCTAGTCCTACTTTAAGGTTCAAGCGTGGATAATAAATTTCAGGTGGAAGGTGGGTGTTCGTTTCTATCTTTCTTTGCAATGAGTTTTGCTGTCATGTCCCTTGGTTATCACAGAGCACCCCCCAAACCTGCACAATGATTACTCTCCCTAAAATCAGCAGAAAGGGGTCTGCCTTTGGACTCATGGACAATCAAAGAAGGAGATTAAGCCTTTGTCTCTCTTTAGGGGATCGAAGTTCCTTCCACGAAGATGCGGTGAGATAAAGCCTTAGGCTCCGCTCCTTCCTGAGACTATAGCCTCATGAGCATGTTTGACGGGAAGTTTAGGGCCTGAGCTATTATCTCACAGCCAAAAAAAAGAGCCGGGAGGCCCCGGGACTTGGCCCAGCTCACGCTCTTCATTTATGGGCCAAGAGCTAAAAGTGACTGAGAGCCCAGGGTTTATGCCACGAGAGAGTCAGAAAACCCGTTTTTAATGGACGGAAGCAGAGGAAAGTTTTCCAAAGAAAATGGGAGCTGATTTCATCGACCCAAAGATAACACACTTTTCTCTTCAGGAGCTTATCTCTTCGCCCAAGAGAAACAGGAGGACCCTCAGGTCTCCAAGATGACGCTCAGGTAAGGAGGTAACTAGGCCCCAAGCAACATCACCACCCACACAACCTCCCAAGTCTTAGGGCCTCTCACCCAGGGAGTAAGGGTTGGGTCTCTGGGTGAATTCCTGTTTTTTGGGACTTCACCCCCTAGAATTGCAATGGGTTTGGGTGCGTTGAGGAGCCAGGGTAGCCGGACGTTGAGCACCGTGGGTGCCATTCAACAGCGATGGCCAACGTTGACTTGGAAAGAGAAATCCATAGGCCTGTCTGTTTTTTTTTGGGAGATGGTCTTGGTGTCCCACAAACCCTGTGCCCTCAGAGGAGATGACAGGGGTGTGGGATGTGGCCCCTGAAACCATCCAGAAGAGGGTGTTTCCAGCTAAGTCCGAGCTTGTTCCTCAGGAGGCGCTGGGTGGCCCTGTATTGGGTGTGGTTACTCTTCCACGTGGGCCGGGCCCAAATGGAGGCCGATGACAAGCCGAATATTGTCCTGATAATGGCAGACGACCTTGGGATCGGAGACCTGGGCTGCTATGGCAACGACACCTTAAGGTACGTGGTCCTTCAGCCGGGATGGTGGATGCACCTGCTGACCGCTGCTTCACCCAAAACCCAATTTATTCTTTCTGAGAAAGAGGGAATATTAAACTCAGGGTTACGTGCATTTGGATCCGGATTCTGCGCTCACGGCTGCGACCCCTCGGGCAACTTGCCTCACCTCCTGCACCTTGATTTTCTGGCCTGTTGAGCGAATAGCACGTGCCTGTGAGTCCCCCGGGCAAAGCGCTCAGTCGTCACCTGTCACGAGGGAGCTTCTGTGAGGGACACTGTTCTGATGAGTGTTGATTTTTATATGTATTTTTAAAGTTTTTATTGCCCCTATTGAGGAGACACTGGTGCTCACAGCACCTCCCAACAAGACTTGCGGCTTGGACACGGCGGGTCCCGCGAGATCCCTGCTGGTTTTATAGCCAATCCCATGGCAGGTGTGTGACCTGAGTGCAGAGAAGGGACATTTATCCACCAAACGCTCGTCCTCAGGTCTCTGAGTGGCTGGGCCGAGCCATGGTTTCTACGCCAAAGACATGCAGAGATTGTTACCTTCAGATGTGTGTGTGTGCGTCTGCCTGTCTCCCTCTGTCTCTCTGTCTCTGTGTCCCTGTCTGTCTCTCTCAACCTCTCCCCCTCCCTCCTTCCCTTTCCTCTTTATGTCTCTGTGTGTGAGTGTCTATTGCCCTTGGCCTCTGTGTCTCTCTCTGTCTCCATGTCTCCATCTCTCATTCCCTCCCCTCCTTCTCTCTGTCTCTGTCTCTGTCTCTCTCTGTCTCTGTCTCTCTGTCTCTGTCTCTCTGTCTCCATGTCTCTGTCTCTCATTCCCTCCCCTCCTTCTCTCTGTCTCTGTCTCTCTCTGTCTCTGTCTCTCTGTCTCTGTCTCTCTGTCGCCATGTCTCTTTATCTCTCTGTCTCTGTCTCTCTCTCTCTCTCTGTCTCTGTCCATCTCTGTTTCTTTCCTCCCATCCCCCTTTCTCCAGTTTTCCCTCCGTCTCTCCTTCCAGGACCCCCAACATCGACAGCTTGGCTAGAGACGGCGTTCAGCTGACCCAGCACATCTCCGCGGCCTCCATGTGCACCCCCAGCCGATCCGCGTTCCTCACGGGAAGGTACCCCATCCGGTCAGGTCTGTGAACTGGGACCCTGGGCCCCCCTCTGCTGCGTCATTAAGGTGGGAGCCATGGGCCCACACACCCCTGTTCTTGAGTGGACAGCTACTGATGCCAAAGTCCAAATCCCTGTGCCCCTGAGTGACCCCGATCACCTCAGGCGGCTGAGGGACGCCTTCACCTGGGCTCGGGGACAGTGTTTTGAGGATGCCCCGAGGCCCGGCATAGCCTTGACTCTGCCCCAGGACACAAATGAGACGTTGCCTTGCAAGGGGGTAACTTACAAAACCCGACGACCTTGAGGAGGTTCCGTGAGAACGTCCCAGACCATCCACGTTGAGCGGACAGATAGGACACAGGAGCTCATCTGCTCCGTGAAGACCAACCATTGGGGTCGTTTCTCCCTTTCAACTGCTATGAGGACTTAGCTCTGCTTTGAACGCGTCTGTACAAGTTTTTGTTTCAACACCTTTTTTGTTGCTGCTAATTTTCACCCCAGGGTATAGTTTCCATTGATTTTTTTGTGGTTTTTTTTTTAGAGACAGAGTGGCAGGGAGAGTTTTGTTTTTTGTTTTTTTTTACAGACAGAGCGGGAGGGAGAGACACAGAGAGAGAGAGAGAAATATCGATATGAAAGAGACACGTTGATTGGTTTCCTCCTCCCCTCGCCTGGATGAGGGTCCAAGGATCAACCTGCATCCCAGGTCCATGCCCTTGACCGGGAACCGAACCCGGGACTTTTCAGTTTCCAGGCGGACGCGGTAACAACTAAGCCAAATTGACTCGGGCTGAACAGACCTTTTAAATTATTTTTGGACACGTACCTAAGAGCGGAATTGCTGAGCCATAGTTATGATTTTAGAGGTGAGCTCTTCAGGGGGTCCCTTAATCTTTACTACACCCTGAGGTTTACAACATCGCCCTTTAGCTGGTGATCAGGTTAATCAGGTCCAGTGAACAGCAATTTTTTTTNCTTTCAACTGCTATGAGGACTTAGCTCTGCTTTGAACGCGTCTGTACAAGTTTTTGTTTCAACACCTTTTTTGTTGCTGCTAATTTTCACCCCAGGGTATAGTTTCCATTGATTTTTTGCGGGTTTTTATTTTGGTTTTTTTTTAGAGACAGAGTAGGAGGGGGAGACAGAGAAACATCGATATGAGAGAGACACACTGGTTTCCTCCTGCCCTCACCAGGATGGGGGTCCAAGGATCAACCTGCATCCCAGGTCCAGGCCCTTGACCGGGAACCGAACCCGTGATTTTTTAGTTTTCAGGCAGACACGCTAACAACTGAGCCAAATTGACTTGGGCTGAACAGACCTTTTTAATTATTTTTGGACACGTACCTAAGAGCGGAATTGCTGAGCCATAGTTTAATTTTTAGAGGTGAGCTCTTCAGGGGGTCCCTTAATCTTTACTATGCCCTGAGGTTTACGACATCGACCTTTAGCTGGTGATCAGATTAATCAAGTCCCATGCACATCAAATTATTATTATTTTTTTCTTTGCTGCTCCCTTTACGTAAAACCAGTGTTTTAGAAAGAGATGTGTTTCATGTACAGGACACGGTTAAAAAATCTAATTTCAAAGAGCTTCCTCTTGGGTGAAACTTAAGACGATGTGAGCTGGCTTTCTGAGAGTTCCTGCCCTGATTTTCTCTCCTGATAGTATCTGAAAAAATTCTTTTTACTTGCTTTGTCTTGTCATATGCAATTTTGTTCCCACTCCCTGAGACTGCTTTAGGTTGGGCTCTACTTTGGAAGGAAATCAGAATGGATCCATTTGGAGAGTTCACCGGGGCTGGATTGCTCAAAAATATTCAATATACCCAGGATCTTGGCATCACTCCCAATGGGACTGAGCTAAGTCCCCCCAGTTTCAGCTACTCACCAGGGACACCTGTTGGCTGTTTCTAGGTGTTCGTCTCTTCCTGGGTCCTTCAAACACTCATTTGCTTTTTTCTATTCCTTTCCCAAAAATTACAAGTCTTTGGACTTAGGATGACTGGGCCCTCCACCTGCTTGACATCAACTTTATTCATGAGAATTTCCAATGTAATATGTCAACTCTTCCCAGATGCCCCAACCTCAGCTTCTGGACACACCTGTCCTACAAACAGAACTAAATTCTATTGTCAGAAAAAAATCAATTTTAGTAGGAACAGAAGAGTTTGAAGTTCTCATAAGATTTCATGTTTCCACTTCTTTTCTGAGGCATAGATTTCCCCAGTTGGGGGCAGGAACCTGTTAGATGTTCAATCAGCAATTGTCTACTGAAGTTGGGCGGTGGGTTTGAGGATATCTGATAGTGTCATGTGTGGGTGCACACAAGGGTTTAAAGGGGTTTTGCATTATGGACCAGTGTAAGTTTTGTCTTTGGAGGACATAATTTCCTCCCCCACGTGATGGTATCTCCTCCTGGTTCTTCATCTGTCCACCTCCAAAGCTCTGAACTCTCCAGGTCTCTCTCCCTCTTCACCTGATGAGCACCTACCCACTCACCGTGTGTACCAGGGTTGTGTTTCCACTTTACATTTAGGGATGGTTTCGAATGGAAATAAACGTGTCATCTACTCCCTCGCGGCCCGTTCTGGACTCCCTCTTAATGAAACGACATTTGCAGCCTTAGCCAAGAAGCAAGGATATAGCACGGCGATTATCGGTAAGAAGCCATTGCTCTCTGTGTCCTCCAGGACTCTCTGTCATCACTGTGCTTTGCTCACACGGGACCTGCTATTACCAAGCACCCTTCACACACACACACACACACACACACACACACACACACACACACGTACATGCACACGCTCCATCCTAAATGACACCTATCCACCCTTTGCAGACAAAACTTGGTCATGACGAAGACCCCTTCCCACCTAATCCCCAGGTCTTTCCAGGTGTCCATCCCACATGTTCCCATATCACCCTGTGCTGTTCACCTTGGCACAGGTGCTCTGTGCAAAGACGCTCTATGATAAAGATTTACAACGGCGCTCTCTTTCCGCATTATCCTGTGTGGGCTCTGAAATCCTGCATCTCACCCACCAGGCATAATTCTGGACATGTAATGTGTCCTCCCAAGAGCTCACAA